CTTTCAGTTCTCTCACCAGCGGCCTAAGATCATCAGGCATCACTTACAGATGGAGCACAAATGGATCCCTGGTGGTGCACCGGAACAGAACCCAACACACGCTTGCCTCAATGGAGGCGGCACCCTCATTCCTAGAGACACTGGGATTGGAGCTCCTGACCACTAATCCTCCCCTGTGACCCACTACTGCAAAGTGCGACCCGGAACACATCGCACCATTTGTCCCAAGGGCCAGGAGCTCCCAGGTCATGGAAACAAGACAGCCTCAGGGGACTGGCTGACAGCAAGGCACAAGATCCCACGGAAGGGAGCCTATTCCATATCCTGGCATCACCTTAACAATTCTAAAGACTGAGAATTCATTATTATTATTAATTTTAAACTGTACAACACCACATGTTCAGCATAGCCCATCCCCATGTCCCAAAACGGCACTAGCCACACACAGATGAACAAACTAACCCTGGACCAGGTAGTTCACCAAACGAATAGAAGGGCGACACTCACACTCCTCCTCTCCCTTTCCCCCCGCAACTCCCTTGGTTAGGAGTACCTTCACTGAAGGCATAGAGTACACCACCAGCTTGCGTAGCCCCAATAAGGAGAAGCTACACCCTAAGCACCTCTGATCATACACAACTATGTCCTCTCACCTCTATGCACTCATAGCACCCTCACTTCAAATCTCTTTAAACTCATGTGTGCCAAAACCACTGACATACTACCTTTTATTTAGCCCCCCGGCGACACAGGACAGCGGAGCAAGGACTGAATGGGCGAACTACACCTTTAAACACACATGAAGGGCCCTATCCCCTACAGTAGGACCTAGGCCCACGTTCACAGCTTGTGTGAAACTTAAAAACTGGTGCAGTTACTCAATGTTTTTTACCCATACTATGTTATGCATTGGAACCTCTATACTGCAAAGTACTGTTCAATGTATGGTTTATGCAATGCACTGCAAAAAGAAAGAATTATAAAAAAACAAAGAGCAAATGTGAGATTTACTCGTAGTATGTATTAACCTCGGGTATAAACCTGGGACTCCGCGCCAGGGATAGAGAGATCCTGAGCTCAGCCTTGATTTCACCCTATACCCCATTGGGGATGCACAAAGTCCCACCAAGAGAGTTTCCGCATTAGGATTACTAGCCAGCTAGAGGAAAAATATGTGGACACAATATGGCAATCAGGCAAGTATGTTAAGATCCTCCCAATGGCCTGGATACCTAGTGTGGTTTAGGGTACAGACTGATGACATTGCAGTGGTCCTATGACTTACATATCGCTAGATTCAATACGGGTCACAGTTAGCATTGTTGTGCTATTTGGGCTCAGTCATGATGGGGTTCCTCAGCCATCTGGAAAGTCTCCATCCAAGTCTGGTATGATGCTGTGGGTCCCAGGCGTGCTTCCAACCTCACCCAGAAAGAATTGATATCTGATCTAGGTGCTGCAAGACTTCACTTTGCCCTTCATTAGAATCAGAGTAGCATGCAGCGCTCACCATCTTGCACACTTGTAGCTTGACGATTTCCCGGCAGTTATGCTGTGCGCCCTCAGCACAGGACAATACAGGAGCCTCCTATGAGTAGATTGTGATCTCCCACGCTGATCCAAAGGGGGGGAAATGGGGCACCAGGCAGCAACACAAGACAGGGGCAGAGATCGGCCACCTCTCCACTTCATCAAATGCGTAAGGTCTCCAGGCCAGCACACAGCCTCCTGTCAGAAAAGACATCCAAAGACAGCAAAAGAACATTCAGGAGCAGCCCGACTCTGTTCAATACTACTGCAGACGTAAGTAGCGTTGTCGATGGGGTAGAAATAGAATAATATTGCTCTTTTTTAAGAGGTGAAATGCCAGTTCTCTTTCGCGTTGCGTCCGTCCGGCTTGACAGTAAGGCCCTGCCCCATAGGAGGGTTAGTGTGAAGAACTCTATAAAAAATCATAATTTCCCGGGCATGTTTGGAGCATGCTTGAATGCTGGAGTGTCGGGTTTTGTCGTACAGCTCTCAATATTAAAAACATATTTTGGCTTTTTGTTAAAGGATGCCTATATATTTAGAATTTTTGCTGAATCTTCTCTGTTTAGGAGGTGATAGTTGAAATAATTATATTTCATATGTAAATCACATAATATATGTATATTTATTTGTATCCATAAGTTGAAAGTTAGTAAAACTGTAAATCTATACAGTTTAAATGTATATTTCTGTCAGTTTATGAGTCGTTTCCCTCTAGGTTTCCCATAAGGTCTACAGATAATTTAAAGCAGATTGAAAGCAGAAAATTAGTACCGAATCTGATATGTATCTTTACAATCAGTGGACCGTGAACTTGCTCACCCCAGCCACGACTAATAACACGCCAAATGAAATAACTAATTTAAATTAGTAGAGGAGATTCATCTGGGGATTATTCTGAGTGCACTTTTTAATTCAGAAATAGCTTATTTTTTTGTAATTTATTTTTATGAAACAAGAAAAAAAAATAGAAAAAAAAAAGATTTTATGGTGTATGAAAACAGTTTATTTTTATCAAACACACACAATAGTAAGCTAGTAATCTTTACTTACTATGTAACTAGCCAAAGCTCTAAATAGTGCAGTATTTTATATAATACAAGCACTACATAGTGCAGTCTTGTATATAATACACACACTAAATAATGCAGTATTTTATATAGTACAAGCGCTAAATAATGCAGTATTTTATATAATACAAGCGCTATATAGTGCAGTATTGTATATAATACACACGCTAAATAGTGCAGTCTTGTATATAATACACACACTAAATAATGCAGTATTTTATATAGTACGAGCACTAAATAGTGTAGTATTTTATATAATACAAGTGCTACATAGTGCAGTATTTTATATGATACAAGTGCTAAATAGTGGAGTATTTTATATAATATAAGTGCTAAAAAGTGCAGTCTTTTATATAATACACGCGCTAAATAATGCAGTCTTTTATATATTATAAGCGCTAAATAGTGCAGTATTTTAAATAATACAAGCGCTAAATAGTGCAGTCTTTTATATAATACATGTGCTAAATAGTGCAGTATTTTATATAATACTCGCGCTAAATAGTGCAGTATTTTATATAATATAAACGATAAATAGTGCAGTCTTTTATATAATACAAGCGCTAAATAGTGAAGTCTTTTATATAATATAAGGGCTAAATAGTGCAGTATTTTATATAATACATGCGCTAAATAGTGCAGTCTTTTATATAATGTAAGGGCTAAATAGTGCAGTCTTTTATATAATACAAGCTCTAAATAGAGCAGTATTTTATATAATACACGCGCTAAAATTAGAGTAGTGATTGCAACGGCAGCTTTAGTTCTGCTGTAGTGATTATCATGCCAGGAACCTGGC